GGGGTAGAAGAGGTAAATAGGGTACTTATCTAGGGCTGTAGAAGGAGGAAGTGGGTAGGTAGTACAGAAGGTACCTGGGTTACTGTATTAGACATTCTGTAATTTAATGTTATAAGGAGGAGGGTAGGGGAGGTATATGGAGTACTTATCTAGGGCTGTACAAGGAGGGGGTAGGGGAGGTATGTGGGGTACTTATCTAGGGCTGTACAAGGAGGGGGTAGAGGAGGTATATGGGGTACTTATCTAGAGCTGTACAAGGAGGGGGTAGAGAAGGTATATGGGGTACTTATCTAGGGCTTGTACAAGGAGGGGGGGGTAAAGGAGGTATATTTGGTACTTATCTAGGGCAGTACAAGGAGGGGGGTAGAGGAGGTATATGGGGTACTTATCTAGAGCTGTACAAGGAGGGATATGTAGAGGAGGTATATGGGGTACTTATCTAGGGCTGTACAAAGAGGGGGTAGGGGAGGTATATGGGGTACTACAAGGAGGGGGTATATTGGGCTGTACAAGGAGGGGTAGTAGAGGAGGTATATGGGGAGGTATGTGGGGTACTTATATAGGGCTGTACAATGTAGGGCTGTGGTAGAGGAAGGTATAGGTATATGGGTACTGGGGTATCTAGGGCTGTACAAGGAGGGGGTAGAGGAGGTATATGGGTGTATATGGGGCTGTAAGGAGGGGGTAGAGGGAGGTATATAGGGCTTATCTAGGGCTGTACAAGGAGGGGGTAGAGGAGGTAGGTATATGGGGTACTTATCTAGGGCTGTACAAGGAGGGGGTAGGGGAGGTATATGGGGTACTTATCTAGGGCTGTACAAGGAGGGGGTAGAGGAGGTATATGGGGTACTTATCTAGGGCTGTACAAGGAGGGGGTAGAGGAGGTATATGGGGTACTTATCTAGGGCTGTACAAGGAGGGGGGTAGAGGAGGTATATGGGGTACTTATCTAGGGCTGTACAAGGAGGAGGGGGTAGGGGAGGTATATGGGGTACTTATCTAGGCTGTACAAGGAGGGGGTAGAGGAGGTATATGGTACCTTATCTAGGGCTGTGAACAAGGAGGGGGTAGAGGGGTACTTATCTAGGGCTGTACAAGGAGGGGGTAGAGGAGGTATTGGGTACTTATCTAGGCTGTACAAGGAGGGGGTAGAGGAGGTATATGGGGGTACTTATCTAGGGCTGTACAAGGAGGAGGTACAAGGTATATGGGGGTAGTACAAGGAGGGTATATATGGGGTACTTATCTAGGCTGTACAAGGAGGGGGTAGAGGAGGTATATGGGGTACTTATCTAGGGCTGTACAAGGAGGGGGTAGAGGAGGTATATGGGGTACTTATCTAGGGCTGTACAAGGGAGGGGGTAGAGGAGGTATATGGGGTACTTATCTAGGGCTGTACAAGGAGGGGGTAGGGGAGGTATTATGGGGGGGTACTTATCTAGGGCTGTACAAGGAGGGGGTAGAGGAGGTATATGGGGTACTTATCTAGGGCTGTACAAAGGAGGGGGTAGGGGAGGTATATGGGTATATGGGGTACTTATCTAGGCTGTACAAGGAGGGGGTAGAGGAGGTATATGGGGTACTTATCTAGGGCTGTACAAGGAGGGGGTAGAGGAGGTATATGGGGTACTTATCTAGGGCTGTACAAGGAGGGGGTAGAGGAGGTATATGGGGTACTTATCTAGGGGCTGTACAAGGAGGGGGTAAGGTAGAGGAGGTATATCAAGGGCTGTACCAAGTTACTATCTAGGGCTGTACAAGGAGGGGGAAGGGTAGTACTTGATCGGGTGGTAGGGAGGTATATGGGGTACTTATCTAGAGCTGTACAAGGAGGGGGTTAGAGGAGGTATATGGGGGTTACTTATCTAGAGCTGTACAAGGAGGGGGTAGAGGAGGTATATGGGGGTACTTATCTAGGGCTGTACAAGGAGGAGGGGGTAGGGGAGGTATATGGGGTACTTATCTAGGGCTGTACAAGGAGGGGGGTAGAGGAGGTATATGGGGGGTACTTATCTAGGCTGTACAAGGAGGAGGGGGGTATATGGGGTAGAGGAGGTATATGGGGTACTTATCTAGGGCAAGGAGGGGGTACAAGGTAGGGGGTACTTATCTAGGGCTGTAGGAGGAGGTAGGGAGGTTTTTGGGCATGGGGGAGTACATATATGGCTGAGTGTACAAGGAGGGGTTAGAGGAGGTATATGGGGTACTTATCTAGGGCTGTACAAGGAGGGGGTAGAGGAGGTATATGGGGAGTTAGTAGGGTGTACTTAGGGAGGTATCTAGAGTTGAACAAGGAGGGGGTAGAGGAGGTATATGGGGTATCTATCTAGGCATGTACAAGGAGGGGGTAGAGGAGGTATATGGGGTACTTATCTAGGGCTGTACAAGGAGGGGGTAGAGGGAGGTATATGGGGTACTTATCTAGTAGCTTGCTGTACAAGGAGGGGTAGAGGAGGTATATGGGGTATTTATCTAGAGGGCTGTACAAGGAGGGGGTAGAGGAGGTATATGGGGTACTTTATCTAGGGCTGTACAAGGAGGGGTAGAGGAGGTATATGGGGTACTTATTAGGGCTGTACAAAGAGGGGGTAGGGGAGGTATGGGAAACTTATCTAGAGCTGTACAAGGGGGGGTAGAGGAGGTATATGGGGTACTTATCTAGGGCTGTACAAAGAGGGGGAGGGGAGGTATATAGGGTACTTATCTAGGCATGTACAAGGAGGGGGGAGGGGGTATATGGGGGTACTTATCTAGGCATGTATAAGGAGGGGGTAGAGGAGGTATATGGGGTACTTATCTAGGGCTGAACAAGGAGGGGGTAGAGGAGGTATATGGGGGTACTTATCTAGGGCTGTACAAGGAGGGGGTAGAGGAGGTATATGGGGTACTTATCTAGGGCTGTACAAGGAGGGGGTAGAGGAGGTATATGGGGTACTTATCTAGGCATGTACAAGGAGGGGGTAGAGGAGGTATATGGGGTACTTATCTAGGCTGTACAAAGGAGGGGGTAGGGGAGGTATATGGGGTACTTATATCTAGGGCTGTACAAGGAGGGGGTAGAGGAGGTATATGGGGTACTTATCTAGGGGCTGTACAAAGGAGGGGGTAAGGGAGGTATATAGGGTACTTATATTCTAGGCTGTACATAGGATGGGGTAGAGGAGGTATATGGTGGTACTTATCTAGGGCATGTAGGAGGGGGTAGAGGAGGTATATGGGTACTTATCTAGGGCTGAACAAGGAGGAGGTAGGGGAGGGTATATGGGGGTACTTATCTAGAGCTGTACAAGGAGGGGGTAGAGGAGGTATATGGGGTACTTATCTAGAGCTGTACAAGGAGGAATGTAGAGGAGGTATATGGGGTACTTATCTAGAGCTGTACAAGGAGGGGGGGAGGTAGAAGGTATTGGGTACTTATCTAGAGCTGAGCAAGGAGGGGGTTAGAGGAGGTATATTTGGTACTTATCTAGGGCTGTACAAGGAGGGGGTAGAGGAGGTATATGGGGTACTTATCTAGGGCTGTACAAGAGGGGGTTGAGAGGAGGTATATGGGGTACTTATCTAGGGCTGTACAAGGAGGGGTAGGGGAGGTACATGGGGTACTTATATCTAGAGCTGTACAAGGAGGGGGTAGAGGAGGTATATGGGGGTACTTATCTAGGGCTGTACAAGGAGGGGGTAGAGGAGGTATATGGGGTACTTATCTAGGACTGTACAAGGAGGAGTTAGGGGGAGGTATATGGGGTACTTATCTAGAGTTGAACAAGGAGGGGGGTAGAGGAGGTATATGGGGTATCTATCTAGGCATGTACAAGGAGGGGGTAGAGGAGGTATATGGGGTATACTTATCTAGGGCTGTGCAAGGAGGGGGTAGAGGAGGTATATGGGGTACTTATCTAGGGCTGTACAAGGAGGGGGTAGAGGAGGTATATGCAGTACTTATCTGTAGAGCTGTACAAGGAAGGGGTAGAGGAGGTATATGGGGTATTTATCTAGGGCTGTACAAGGAGGGGGTAGAGGAGGTATATGGGGTACTTATCTAGGGCTGTACAAAGAGGGGGTAGGGGAGGTATATGGGGTACTTATCTAGAGCTGTACAAGGAGGGGGTAGAGGAGGTATATGGGGTACTTATCTAGGGCTGTACAAAGAGGGGGTAGGGGAGGTATATGGGGTATTTATCTAGGCATGTATAAGGAGGGGGTAGAGGAGGTATATGGGGTACTTATCTAGGGCTGTACAAGGAGGGGGTAGAGGAGGTATTGGGTACTTATCTAGGGCTGAACAAGGAGGGGGTAGAGGAGGTATATGGGGGGTACTTACTTATCTAGGGCTGTGCAAGGAGGGGGTAGAGAAGGTATATGGGGTACTTATCTAGGGCTGTATAAGGAGGAATTGTCACCTGAAGTGATTGACCCCACATGTGTCATAGACCTCCCATGATGGACATCCAAGACACCACAAATCCTTCACGAGGACGTTACTCTCTTCTGTCCCCCCAATAGATTCCGGATCCCCCTGTACACGTCTCTATGTTGTCTGCTTGTCTTCACTTCCCCGTATTGGGATTCTTGGACCACACGCCTACCCAGAGTAATGTCAGACAGGCAGGGAGTCCATGTATACACTGATAGCAATTCTTACATGCAGGCAGGGGTCCCTGTATGGGGGGATTACAAGTCCCTAGCAGGCAGGGAGCTCTTTGTATACATTGGCAGGGGTGGGGGTCCCTGCATACATTGGTAGGGGTGGGGGTCCCTGTAAACATTGGCAGGGGTGGGGGTCCCTGTATATACTAGTTCTCGGCCAGTTCCTTAGCTGGTCCTGTAGTGTGAAATGACCTTCCCAAACTATATACTGAGCAACCTGGATAGAATTGGGATAGGTTACCAACTTCGCAGAAACATTACCAGTTAAATATCTGCATACCTGCTGTGCCCACTACAAGGGGTTCCCACAATCCCTGTGCTGCGTTCCCGGGTCTGTACACCTGCTGGCCCCATTATGAGGGGTTCCCACCATCCCTCTGCTGAGTTCCCGGGTCTGTACACCTGCTGTGCCCATTATGAGGGGTTCCCACCATCCCTGTGCTGAGTTCCTGGGTCTGTACACCCGCTGTACCCATTATGAGGGGTTCCCACCATCCCTGTGCTGAGTTCCCGGGTCTGTACACCTGCTGTGCCCATTATGAGGGGTTCCCACCATTCCTGTGCTGAGTTCCAGGTTTGCACACTTGCTGTGCCCATATTGAGGGGCTTCCCCCGAACCTCATCCTTTAACAGTTAAAGTTAGGTATACCCCAAGGTGAAAAAGAACATCTGAAACATTAATATGGGTGGGAAGGGCGAGGAAATTGGGGCTACCAAGACCAAAGACATTGAATGACTTAACCCACCACCTTGGCATCTACTTTGGTTGGACTGACCACATAACACTTTACATCTGTTCTTCTCAGTGTCTTTTCTATTTCCCTTACCTCATAGGTCCCAGAGGCCACTCCGCCATGAAGGCAGCTCCATTCATGCTTCTTGCCTGCTACCTGATTGTGACGGCTCAGGTCAAAGCTCGGCCCATGGACAGGAGTCTGTTTGAAGGACCAAGGTTAAGTCTGGACGGGTTAATAAACAATGAGGGTGCTCAGGCTCTTCTCTATTTTCTGAAGGAGAGAGAGTTGAATACGGGTGATTCTCGTGTACAGTTGAGGCTCAGTAAGGGTTCCCTGTCTACTGACCACCCAATGACTGTCCAGGACCTGGCACCCATCCTTGATGTTCTCCAGACCCTCTACCAGGAGAACCGGCCAGAGGAATCTGGTAGGACCTTCCTGGAAGTCTTCTCTGACCGCTTGAAGAGAGAAGACCCTCCGATCTCCATTGACTTGACATTTCACATTCTCCGACAGATGATCGAGATTGCAAAGAACCAGAACCAGAAGCAGCAGGCCGAGCAGAACCGCATCATTTTCGATTCAGTAGGGAAGTGACCATCGATGGTGCAGGGCCTCAACTCCAAAAATAAGACAAAAACTCCCTTCTTATCCAAATCTGGGATGTGCATTACCCTACACAGCAAAGACTTCAGCCCGCCAGGTGGTAGAGTGGGCATGTGCCAAATTCAGGAACTTGCAGGGACAGAGGGAGGGTTTGGTTCTAGGTGTCCTTCACTGATGAGTCTCCAAATGTGGACATCTCCTTCCATTCATTGTCCTGTTTGTCTCCATCTCCAAATCTGACATTAGTGCGGGATTAGTTTATTTATAAAACTCCTGTCTGAATTAACTTTGTGTGATTCCAGTTTTGGTGATAACTCTGATTCATGTCCCACCAAAAAACTTTTGGCCTGCCGTCTTTGGTCAGAACAGTTTTTAGCAATTTAAATGAATCTGGCATTTTACCCTTCAGATTCTCAGGACAGGCCTGCTGATACCCACCTTTTTTGCATTCCCCTGCTACTCCGTTCACCTGTGAGAGAACTCTGAAAAAGATGGTACTTCTAGGTATAGGAGGAGCATGTGACCTTCTCCTCTCTTCCCAGGATACAGTGTTCAGTAGGGGGGGGGGTCATTAAGCCTGTGTAAGCTTCAATACCGAGTTCCCAGGTCTGTACACCTGCTGTGTCCACTATGAGAGATTCCCATCATGCCTAGTTCCTAAGTCTGTACACCTGCTGTGCCCATTATGAGGGCTTCCTATGATGCCTAGTTCCTGGGTCTGTATACCTGCTGTGCCCATTATGAGAGATTCCCATCATGCCTAGTTCCTGGGTTTGTACACCTGCTGTGCCCATTATGAGGGGTTCCTACGATGCCTAGTTCCTGGGTCTGTATACCTGCTGTGCCCATTACGAGGGGTTCCTAAGATGCCTAGTTCCTGGGTCTGTACACCTGCTGTGCCCATTATGAGGGGTTCCTAAGATGCCTAGTTCCTGGGTCTGTACACCTGCTGTGCCCATTATGAGGGGTTCTTACCATGCCTTGTAGGCTTATATTGCGACCTATGTTCCCATAAGGTAGATTCTATCTCACTCTGAGGGATTAGTCATCATGTCTAATGTTTTTTTGCTAGACAGAATGGTGTCCAGCGTTCCCACCCAGTGTACCTACCCAAGCAGGGCTCTGCATGTGTGACTCCCACAAGATGGTGTCCTGTGTTCCCACCCAGTATACCCACCCAAGCAGGGCTCTACATGGGTGACTCCCACAAGATGGTGTCTAGGGTTCCCACCCAGTGTACCTGCCCAAACAGATCTCTACATGAGTGACTCCCTCAAGATGGTGTTCAGGATTCCCACCCAGTATACCTGCCCAAGCAGGGCTCTATATGGGTGACTCCCACAAGTTGGTGTCCAGCGTGCCCACCCAGTGTACCCACCCAAGCAGGGCTCTACATGGTTGACTGCCACAAGATGGTGTCCAGCGTTCCTACTCAGTCAACCTGGTCAAGCAGGGCTCTGCAAGGGTGACTCTCCCAAGATGGTGTCCTTTGTTCCCACCCAGTGTATCCACCCAAGCAGGGCTCTACATGGGTGACTCCCACCAGATGCTGTCCAGCGTTTCTACTCAGTGTACCTGCCCAAGCAGGGCTCTGCAAGGGTGACTCCCCCGAGATGATGTCCTGTGTTCCCACCCAGTATATCCACCCAATCAGAGGTCTACATGGGTGACTCCAACAAGATGGTGTCCAGGATTAACACCCGGTGTATCCACCCGAGCAGGGCACTACGTGGGTGACTCCCACAAGATAGTGTACAGCGCTCCTACCTAGTGTACCCACCTAAGCAGGGCTCTACATGGATGACTCCCACAAGATGGTGTCCAGGGTGCCCACCCAGTATGCCCACCCAAGCAGGGCTCTGCAAGGGTGACTCCCACAAGATGGTGTTCAGAATTAGAAATCAGAAGGTGACTTTTGTACTGAGATGGTATATAGTGGCCCAGCTGTGTCCAGCTCTGATCAGTGACTGAAGAGTCATTGTATAAGATAAAATCCAGCCAGCAACTCAGTGTCATCAAGATGAAGTAACTTTTATTGGCTACACATAAAAACCTAATTACTTGCATAGTGGATCTCCAGCCAGAATGACCTACCATGTTACCAGGTCTATATACCGATAGATGCCCCCCCACCTACAAAATAGGTGGTGCCAGATGTCCACCACCTATGAAGCAACCCTGCCAGATGTTCCACACCTATAAAATGACCCTGTGAGGTGTCCCTGCCTATGAAGCAACCCTGCCAGATTCCCCCACTTATGAAATGACCCTGCTATATGTCCCACCTATGAAATGACCCAACCAGACACCCCTTCATCTATGAAATGATTCTGCCAGATGCCCACCCCCAATGAAGCGTCTCTGCAAGATGCCCACCACCAATGAAGTGACTTTTCCAGATACCTACCACCTATGAAATGACCCTGCCAAATGCCCACCACCTATGAAGTGACCCTTACAATGTCTACCACCTATGGCACAACCCTGCTAGATGCCCACCACCTATGGAATGACCCTGCCAGATGTCCACCACCAAGGAAGCAACCCGACCAGATGCTCACCACCTAGGAAGTGACCCTGACAATTTCTGCCACCTATGACGTTACCCTGCCACATGTCCACCATTAATGAAATGACCCTGCCAGATGTTCACCACCTGTGAAATGACCCTGCCAGGTGCCCACCACCTATGAAGTGATCTTGCCAATGTTCACCACCTATGAAGTGACCCTGCCAATGTTCACCACTTATGCAATGAATCCTGCCAGATGTCCACCACCTATGAAATGACCCTGCTAGATGACCACCACCTACGAAGTGACCCTGTCAATGTTCACCATTTATGTAATGAATCCTGCCAGATGTCCACCACCTATGAAATGACCCTGCCAGATGTCCACCACCTATGCAATGACCCTGCCAGTAGCCCCCAGCTGTAAAGCAACTCTCCTAGATGTTCACTAATTATGAAATAACCCAGCCACACACCCGCACCTATGAAGCAGCTCTTCCCTTGCTCTCCATCTATGGAGAAGCTCTCCCCATGCTCACAATATATGAAGCAGCTCTCCCCATGTTCCCCATTATGAAGCAGTTCTCCTCGTGTTCTCCATCTATGAAGCAGCTCTTCCCATGCTCTCCATCTATGAAGCAGCTCTTCCCATGCTCTCCATCTATGAAGCAGTTCTCCTCATGTTCTCAATCTATGAAGCAGCTCTCCCCATGCTCTCCATCTATGATGAAGCAGCTCTTCCCATGCTCTCCATCTATGAAGCAGCTCTCCTCATAATCTCCATCTATGAAGCAGCCCTCCTCATGTTCTCCATCTATGAAGCAGTTCTCCTCAAGTTCTCCATCTATGAAGCAGCTCTCCCCATATTCTCCATCTATGAAGCAGTTCTCCTCATCCATCTATGAAGCAGTTCTCCTCATGTTCTCCATCTATGAAGCACTCTTCCCATGCTCTCCATCTATAAAGCAGTTCTCCCCATGCTCTCCATCTATGAAGCAGCTCTTCCCATGCTCTCCATCTATGAAGCAGTTCTCCTCCTGTTCTCCATCTATGAAGCAGCTCTCCCCGTGCTCTCCATATATGAAGCAGCTCTTCCGAAGCTCTCTATCTATGAAGCAGCTCTCCTCATACTCACCATCTGTGAAGCAGCCCTCCCCATGTTCTCCATCTATGAAGCAGCTTTCCCCATGCTCTCCATCTATGAAGCAGTTCTCCTCATGTTCTCCATCTCTGAAGCAGCCCTCCCCATGTTCTCCATCTATAAAGCAGCTCTCCCCATGCTCTCCATCTATGAAGCAGTTCTCCTCATGTTCTCCATCTATGAAGCAGCTCTCCCCCGTGCTCTCTCCATATATGAAGCAGCTCTTCCCATGCTCTCTATCTATGAAGCAGCTCTCCTCATGCTCACCATCTGTGAAGCAGCTCTCCCCATGTTCTCCATCTATGAAGCAGCTCTTCCCATGTTCTCCATCTATGAAGCAGCTTTCCCCATGCTCTCCATCTATGAAGCAGTTCTCCTCATGTTCTCCATCTCTGAAGCAGCCCTCCCCATGTTCTCCATCTATAAAGCAGCTCTCCCCATGCTCTCCATCTATGAATCAGTTCTCTTCATGTTCTCCATCTCTGAAGCAGCCCTCCCCATGTTCTCCATCTATAAAGCAGCTCTCCCCGTGCTCTCCATCTATGAAGCAGTTCTCCTCATGTTCTCCATCTATGAAGCAGCTTTCCCCGTGCTCTCCATATATGAAGCAGCTCTTCCCATGCTCTCTATCTATGAAGCAGCTCTCCTCATGCTCACCATCTGTGAAGCAGCTCTCCCCATTTTCTCCATCTATCAAGCAGCTCTTCCCATGTTCTCCATCTATGAACTAGCTTTCCCCATGCTTTCCATCTATGAAGCAGTTCTCCTCATGTTCTCCATCTCTGAAGCAGCCCTCCCCATGTTCTCCATCTATGAAGCAGCTCTCCCCATGTTCTCCATCTATGAAGCAGCTCTTCCCATGCTGATCCCCATGAGAGCCTGGAGTAGGCAAGCCGAGGTGGAGGTATGGAGGGCTAATAAAGGACCTACTGTAGTAAATTGTAGCAGGGACAGGCTCCACTGACGTGTCTTGTACTATATATTGTATGTCACTGCGTACAATAAAAAATGTTGCACTGACCACCCATTGTGTGTCTCTTAAACGGGAATTCCACCTCAAATCACATGGTTTCAAAGTCCTGTACAGAGAAAGGATGAATTGTGAGCGTGATTGGAGGATAAAATACATGCAAAGTGGACAGCTTGCCCAGCCTTTCCTAGATGCCCCCTGTGTCATCTAGTGGCTGCAAGTGTGCTCCTGTGTCTCCATGTATCCTCAAATATGAAACGTCATCATCTCAAAGTCCTTCTCTCAGAAGATGCAGACCTCTGTCCATCACACCAAATGCTCTTCTGTCGGTTATGAGGGTGAAGGGATTTAACTTTCTACCTCTAGAA